GTCACGTGATTGGGCCTCAACGATACATCTATAAAATGGGTCTAGAGTAGGGAAGGGAGCTATAATGAAACGCACTGGACGTAATGCAGTGGCTGGTTGGGGCCCGCCAGTACCTGCTCAGCTCTGGCCAGGCAGGCCCAGGTGGGAATGGGGCCAGGTATGCCCCTCTTCCCTTTTTCCTACGGAAGGAAGCACTTTAGATTGTCTGGTGAAGTTTTCCTTTTTTTTTTTTGAGTTGGAGTCTCACTCTTATCCAGGCTGCAGTGCAGTGGCACGCTGCTCCCTGCCACCGCAGCCTTGACCTACTGGGCTCAGCCAATCCTTTTGCCTCAGTCATCCAAGTAGCTGGAACTATAGGCATGAGCCACCATGCCCGGCTAAGTTTTGGATTTATTGTAGAGACGAGGTCTCTCCAAGTTGTCCAGGCTGGTCTTGAACCTGTGGGCTCAGGCAGTCTTCTCGCCTCTGCCTCTCAAAGTGCTGGGATTACAGTGGGGAGCCATCGCACCCAGCTAAGTTTCCCCATTTTTGTGACATGGGGTGGAATGAAGTAATTGGCTCTGGTGCCAGTTATGAGGTCCTCGAGGTGATCTTCACAGACACAGTGTTCGCTCCTGGGCCTAGCCAACATGGGGAGTTCACTAATACTTGAGAGGAGAGCCGGGGCCTACTTGGTTCATGGGCATCTGTGAGGTACCCAGAGTTCCATGAATTCTAGATTCCAAATTCTGAGCGTCTGGGCTATGGGTGAGACTCCGTGTGCCCACCGCTGCCCTTGGCTCCTCTATGGTCCCAGAGAATATCCCTGCAGTAGGTTTTGTGAGTCGCCAGCTCACCATTCACGCCTGGATTTGTCCCCAGTTGCTTGACCTGAATAGTCTCTGTTTATTGCCTTCATATTGTCGGTGACTCTGGCCTGGAAGCAGGGGGCAGATGGCAGCCTCCCCAGCCCGGGGGTACTGGCTCTCATGCCTTCTGGGGCGTCACGAACAAGACGCCATCGGGAGGGTGGGTATGGATGGGGCCGTGAGCACTGCTATTTCCAGTCCCTGGTTCTTCCTTAGGGAATTTGGTCGGTAATGGGGCAGATGTGAGCAGGTTTGTGGGAGGGACTTGGTACGACCAATCCAGGGCCAGCTGCCCAACCCACCTGTGAGGCCCTGACAGGGGAAGGAAAGCTGGTAGAGGCTTCTAGAATTCCTCAAATATCTGGGCGTACAGAATCCCCGCCCCTCTACTTGCAGCTGCGGATCTCTTGCTTTCCTCTTTGCTTACACATCAGGATGATATGTAAGGTCAGGTGTGTCGGCCTCTCTACCTGCTTGGAGAGTGAGAGAGCCCAGGCCTGGAACACATGGATTTATGTGAGCATTATCCTTTACTCGAGCCCTCACAATTGATTGAGAGGACCACAAATATCAATGACCGTTGCTTATCTTGACGAAGAACTTGCCCACCATGTTCCTTATAAGGGAGGGAGTGCCTTCTCATTTCTTGTGGACACACTGAGGAGAGGAGACAGTCTTGAATCCAGACCCCTGGACTTGGGCTTTCTGTAGGGAGAAAAGTGGACTTGTGGGGCCGTATAGGAATGGGATCCTCCTACCCTCCCTGTGAACTCCCCCTGCTGGGCCAGGCCTGGGACTAGGCACTGTGACAAGATGAAATAAGGATGGCCTCCCCTCTCAAGAACCCTCTAGCACGTACCAGGGACCAGTGACTTCATTCCATCCTGTGTTGCAAAAGTGGGGAAATATCACAGGACTGTGGAACTCAGTGGTCCCAGGTCCCAGTCTTAGGAAGTATTGCTTGGATGACACTGATGGAAGCTGGGCAAGGTGGCATATACCTGTGGTCCCAACTAATCGGGAGGCTGAGGTGGGAGGATCACTTGAGCCCAGGAGTTTGAGGCTGCAGTGATTGCACCGCTGTATTTCAACCTGGTCCACAGAGCGAACCCTGTCTCTCCTTTTTTCCTATTTTTTATTTGTTTGTATGTTTGTTTTTGAGTTGAAGTCGCACTCTGTTGCCCAGGCTGGAGTGCAGTGGCATGCTCGCGGCCACTGCAGACTCTACCTGCTGGGTGATTCTTCCACCTCAGGCTTCCAAGTAGCTGTAACTACAGGCACACCCTACCATGCCCAGCTTATTTTTTGATTTATTGTAGAGACGAGGTCTCACCAAGTTGCCTGGGTTGGTCTTGAACCCCTGAGCTCCGGCAATCCTCTCACCTTGGCCTCCCAAAGTGTTGGGATTACAGACTTGAACCACTTCTGCCTGTTCTTATTTTTGTTTTGTTTAAACCCTGTCTCTTAATTTAAAACAAGCAAACAGAAATAATGCCAATGGCGGTGACAATAAAATAATAGTAGACAGTGTAGTTATGCTTGATAGAGGCAGAGACTTTGGGGTCAGCATGGAGGCAGCAGAGGTGAGAGACTGAAGTGAATGAGGGAGCTGGAGGTTTTTCGGGGCAACAGCCATATTCCTGCACAGAGAGGGTGAAGGTGGAGGGGCAGGAAGCCCAGGATGGTCACTTGCAACAGCATGTCTGGCTGACAGAGCAGCCACCTCTGATGGCCCAAGCCAGAGGCCAGGAGAGCCAAACGCAGAACAAGGTTCTGTAAAGCAAAGCCTTTGTCCCTGTGCAAGAGGCATCCAGCTCTTGGTGATGAGCTTTTTCTTGCTCTCCCCTGAGGACAACTAACTCTCTCCTATACGCTGCACCCCTCCCCGCCCAGGATGGCCAGCGGCTGAGTGTCTAGTGCAGACACCAGCTGTGGCCTAGTGGCCTCCTTGCTGTCTTCCCAAGTAGCAGCTTTGCTTCCAGCAGCAGTGGCCACCAGTGACTCAGGGCTGGCATGTCTCACCAGGGGAAAAGAATTCAACTGCCTGGGCTTGGGGGTTGGGAACGGTCTCGGTAATTTTCCTCTGAGAGAAAAAATTAAGCACACAGGAGGGAGAAGAGTGGACAGTGGCCTCCGAGTCCAGGCACTTTGAGGTTTAGGGTCTCAATCCCCTCTGGCCTTGCCTCTGTCTGTCCTTGTCCATATTTCTCTCCGCGTTTCTCTTTTTGCCGCCCCTGTGTGCTTCCATGCTGTCCCCTGGGACTCGCAGGCCTGTGCTGAGCCTTTGATGCAGCGTCAGTGCAGTGTCGCGGCTAAAAACGGAGCTGCTGTCACTTGCCAGCTGTGACTTCGTTCAGCAAGTGGCTTCCCTCCTCTCACCCTCGCTTTCAGCATTCGTGCATTGGGGTTGATGTTACTATTGCTGGTCCCCTCGCTCTGGGCTGTGTGATCTGGCAGCCAGGAGCGACATGTGGGTGTCTCGAGCACTCGCAGTATGGCCAGTGTGTATTGAGATGTGGTAGTTACATGTTGAACAAGTTCATTGACTTTCTTTGGCCCCAGCCTTCATGGACCAAGTGGAGGCTGACTTTCTGGGTTCAAAACGCTGATAAGTGACTTCATTTTTCTGTCCCTCAGTTTCCTCATCTGTAAATTGGGATTGGATATAGTATATTCCTCTGAGGACTTTTGTAAGAATTAATGCGTTAAGACCTAGAAAGCCCTTAGACCACTGTGCCTGGCACAAGGAGGGAACTCTGTATCATCTTTTTTTTTTTGAATGGGAGTCTCACTTTGTCGCCCAGGTTGGAGTGTAGCGGCATGCTCACAGCCACCGCAGCCTCGACCTACTGTGCTCAGGTGATCCTTTTGCCTCAGCCTTCCAAGTAGCTGAAACTACAGGCATGTGCCACCATGCCCAGCTAATTTTTTGATTTATTGTAGAGATGAGGTCTTCCCAAGTTGCCTTGGTTGGTTTTGAACCCGTGGGCTTAGGCAATCCTCTCACCTCGGCCTCCCAAAGTGCTGGGATTATATGTGTGAGCAACCGTGCCCAGCCTAATTTTTTGATTTATTGTAGAGAGAAGTTGTCACCATGTTGCCCAGGCTCGTCTCAAACCCCTGGACTCAAACAATCCTCTCGCCTCGGCCTCCCAAACTGCTGGGATTATAGGCATGAGCCACTGTGCTTGGCCTTCTATCATCTTTTCTTTTTCTTTTTTTTTGAGTTGGAGTGTCACTCAGTCGCCCAGACTGGAGTGCAGTGGCCGCTCCCGGCCACTGCAGCCTCGACCTGCTGGGCTCCGGAGATCCTTCCGCCTCAGCCTTCCAAGTAGCTGGAACTACAGGCGCGCGCTACCACGCCCGGCTCATTTTTGATTTATTGTAGAGATGAGGTCTCGTCAAGTTGCCCAGGCGGGTCTCGAACCCGTGGGCTCAGGCAATCCCACTCACCTCAGCCTCCCAAAGGCGCGGAATTACAGTCTGAGCCACCGAGCCCGGCTATCATCTTTTCATGATGGCTGCGCCCAGCTTTGGGCTGGGAGCCTGGGGAGATTAAAAAAACCATGGCCCCAAGTTGTGGAGAGGCTGCCATCTTCGGAGAGACTTGTCGGCAGCTAACGTCCTGGAGTACAGAGTGGAGATGACTGGAGTGGGGGTGAGGTGTTGTGTGGCAAGGAGACCACCTTGAAATGAGGCTGAGGGGAGTTTGATGACAGGAAGGTGACCTTGGACAGAGGAAGTGTCTAGGTTCGGCAGCTTGTTCCTTGTGGCTCTGAGCCATCTTTTGTGACCCCTCTTGAGACCTGTGTTTGCGGGGATGATAAGAGAAAGACTCAGGATGGGAGGTGGGGCTCCATCCCCCTGGCTAGCTTGGAAGTGGGAATGCGGCCTGGTCCTGGGAGGCAGCTGTTGTCATCAAGGTCCTCAAGAAGTGAGGGCTGGTCGGCAGCTTCCCACCTCCCGACTTGAGTTAGCTGGCAGCCGTGCTAACTCAGTCCTCCAGGCTGGCCGGGAGCCCTGGCTTTCTGCATCAGGCACCCCTGACTATCAATCCCGCCTGGGTGCTCTCCCCCACTGCCCACGGCCCCATGGAGAGGGACCCCAAGGGTCAGTCCAGCGGCTCACCCTCTCTTTGTCATCCCCATCTAGGTTGGATCCATGCCGTCTACACCCCTGTAGACTCTCTGGTGTTCGGCGGAAACATCCTGCACAGCTTCAACGTGCCTATGCAGCTACGGATCTACGAGATCGAGGACAGAACACGGGTAAGGAGGCTTCCTTCTCTCCCCACGTGCGTGCCCGGCCCCTGAGCTCTACTGGGCACTCGGGCATGTGGGGCAGGTCCTTCTTATGTCCTCTGCGGTTCCTCCCTCCCTGTCTCCAGCCAGTCTCACTTGGTTTTGCAGGACCAGGGGAGATGGCCTCAAGAGTTCCACTCAGAGGCCCTGGAGTTTCTGTTCACCTCCAGGCCAGGGGCAGCCAAAACCCCCTTGTTGAAGAGGAAGTATCTCTTGAGAAAGCACCGTGAGATTTCAGGGGCCTGGCCTCTTCCTTCTTCTCACGTGTAGAAAGGGGTGCGAGGGGTTGGGGGGAATTTTATTGCTGTCATTTGGAGAGTGGGTGTGGACTTTGCAAAGAGGGCCCAGCCTGGTCCAAGGTGAAGTCTTGGCCACGCCTTCTCCTGGGGACCCCACATCTGACTGAGGAGTGCCCCTGAGGAAGCCAGTGTCTGTGAGTCCATCAGGTACTATCTCTGAGCTAGTCTCACTGTCTGCTGAGGGTGGTTCCTAGCTCCCTGGGTCTGAGGCTTTTCTCTGCTCTTGACAGTGACGGTTTCTCCCCCGACCCAACCCATGTTCTAGGGTCAAGGGCCGAGGCTCAGACACCTGATATGTGTCCTCTGCTCTGCAAGTTTCCCCTAAAAAACACCGGTGGCTTGAAACTTGCAGTCTCTTTCCGTGCTGGTACTTGACTAAGTGTCCCTGGGCATCGGAGACAGGTGCAAAACTGGGTCAGAAACTAGAGCCCTGGGACAAAATGGGCCCATTTCTTCTTCTTTTTTTTTTTTGAGTCAGAATCTCAGTCTGTCGCCTAAGCTGGAGTGCAGTGGCATAATCATGGCTCACTGAGGCTTCCTCCTACAATAAATAAATTTTAAAAATCAGCCAGGTGTGGTGGCACGTGCCTATAGTTCTAGCTACTTGGAAGGTTGAGGCGGAAGCATTGCCTGAGCCCAGCAGGTTGAGGCTTGGTGGCCATGAGCATGCCACTGCACTTCAGCCTGGGCCAGAGTAAGATTCCAACTCAAAAAGAAAAAAAAAGAGATTTCAGCCGGGCTCGGTGGCTCAGCCTGTAATCCCGCGCCTTTGGGAAGCTGAGGTGAGTGGATTGCCTGAGCCCGCGGGTTCGAGACCCGCCTGGGCAGCAAGACTTCATCTCTACAATAAATCTGA